GGGGGAACAGCAGCACCCCTCCGTGACTCATGCATTTAAGTCTGAGTGGGTCAGCATCTCCAAACCAGGGTGACCCCGAGAGCTGCCGCTTGCTGCCGAAATCACCCCCTACCGAGTTTACGGGAGAGGGATCTATCAAACCTCGATAACTTGGGCTTGTTTTCACAAGGCATGTGCGGAGGGGTTTTTTGGGGGGCTCCTATGGAGTCCCGCACCTTGTCTAGGTCTCTCTGGGTCTCCTGCCCTACCTTTCTACGCTTTGAGGTGTCCGCGGTTAGCCCCGCACGCTGGTGCACTGCACCAAGCTAATCATCGGCAGGGAGAGAAAGGATATTGTCAGAGTGCAAAATGATCTGTTTTCAGGCAGGAAGCAGTCAACTAGATGTAAATTCCATGAAACAAAAGAAGGTATTATTTACAGTTTTATTGTGATGTTAATTAATATTTACATCTTGGAATGAAAAATAGAAATGTTAATGATTGGCTTTACTAAGAGGATCACTTGATGCCAATGTGAAAGCCAGGGAGAGAAGGCAATTATGCAAACATCACATGCATCCTAATTTCAGTATGGAAACTTACATTTCAAACCTCAATTCAGGAAAATAACATGGAAAGTTTGTACTACAAAATCTAAACATGAGAAAGATTTAAGAGAAAAAAAAGCACATTGCATATGTCAGATAATCTAGTCGGATTATCTGAGCTGTGCTAGCTACAGGGAAGCACTTACCCTTGAGTCCAGCTAGAAGTTAGCAGGGTAAGAAGGAACAAACCAGAATAACATAAAGACTAGCAACAAGGCTCAGGAAAGCAGACAGGAGCCCTAACCTAGCAGCTAAATATTTGGGTTCAAGCAAAGAATGAAAAAGAAACTTAAAGAAAATCAAACCAACTGAAAAAAAAAACCAAACCGCTTACAGCTGAAAATTTCTTAAGCAGCTCAACAAACCTTGCTACTTATTATGGGGGAACAAATCATTACAAATTCTCAAAACAACCAACTCTTTGTATATGGTGTGATTAACAGCCATTAAATATAAACAGACATTAAAAAATGAAATATAACCACAAGTGATACGTAAAACAAGTACAGACCAATCTTTCGTGTTAAAAAGAAAAAGGTTTCAAAAAAACATGAACGTTGAGCATGTTTGGGAATTTTGTTTGATGCATCACTAACACAGAACGAACAAAGATTGGTGCTTTCAGACAAGTGACCACTTTTATGAAGCTTAAATATTGCCAAAAGGTGTAATATGTATTGGCAGCATTATTGACTATAATACTGTGCATGATTTCAACAGTAAACAAGAACAGTTTTGGGTTTTTTCTTTTATAATGCGAACACTGGAGAAAAGCACAGCTTTGCGTGAATGGAGTTTTCCTTTTAAATTGTAGCAAAATAAAAAAAAGCAAAACTTTTCACTCTAACAGGTATTGTTCACCCACATAAAAGGGATTGTAGAGTCATACAAAAATTAATGAATAGCAGGATCTATTTTTTTCAGTACTTAAATTGCAAATAAAATAAACTCCACCCTGGTTCGGAGCTGTCTGTTTACTCCCAAGTCAAGCGATGCTCTCGAACTGCGGATGAGAATTTGAGCGCTGCTGAAGTTTGTGTTTACTAAGTCGAAAGAGGTGGGAACCAAATGAATTCACTATTTCTCCCAAGTTTCCCCAACAGCAAAATATGTTCTTCTCAAGTTTCTGTTTAACAGACAGCTCCATCACAGGAGCGGAGGGCTGGATTTTCTCTGCACGTGCATGCATGCGCATGTACCATCTCGGACTGCTACAACATGAAAGCTAGAACAACAGTTACTCGTCAAATGCCTTAACATTTACTTCTTTGCACATCCTCATTCACCACAGCCTCTAATAAGCACAAAAAATAGGACAGGTATAAAGATAAACGTACAAGAATAAAATGTCTTGCAAAAGTCCTTACCTTTCTGCAGGCAAAAAAAAAACCAACCAACAAACCCAAACCAAAAAACCCAAGCCAAAAAAAAAAACCCAATAACAAACCAAGACCTTTTTAAAAATGCAATACTTGATATATTTGAATTTCAAGACTGAAGGAGCTGAGATACGTATTTGTGCATTTGAGACTCCCGATAAGCCATCGTGTGTGGCATGCGTGACTCACTTCTGCTTCTGATTATTTCACTGCTGCGCCCAATGACTTTTGCAATGAGCATTCCCACGTACAAACGTTGAAATATGAAAAACGAGTAGCCTTTGCTGTTGAGATGAAGGCGTGCTATGGTGTGCTGCCCTTCTCCTCTTGTAGGATGAAGGTCCTGTGCACCAAGAGCTTTCAAAGGGATCCAGATTCAAGGCAGGAGGAGGAGGAGGAAGGAAGACCGAGGACAAAACACACTAGCGCAGGGGATGCTGAAGTAGCAAGTCACCATCAGGCTGAGGAGCCGACTGCTTTCCCCCTTCCACGCTTTGGCACAACACAACCAAAAGGGTTTCCCAGTGCCCACAGCAAAAAGGGGAGCCTGAAGCCACCCAGCTTATGGGGAAAACGCATTGTGGATGGAAAGAGGGTGGTGGCATAAAAAACCCCGAATGATCTGGATTTGGAGCTGGTATCGGCATGAGAGCAAGTGAGAGAAACTGAGGTCAGATCCTGACCCCCTCAGATGCCCTGGAGGGACCAGGGGGTGAAACCTTGGCTGTTTTCACCATAAGTGAGGATGAGGGATCCCTGCCTCCTGGTAGGCAAGTGAGATGGAAAAAGCCAGGTCAAACCTGTGGCATTTCTATAGCTCTGAGCGCAGTCAGGCTCATACAGGTCTGCAGGACAAGTCTCTGGTGGACACGCTGGGCTGTGGTTTGATGCAGAGAGGACTCCTGGGCTCAGTTACCAACTTTGCTGCTCCCTGGCAAGGACTAGGACAAACCAGCTGCCCCTTCTCCATCCCAGTAACCGAAGCAGGGGGGTTCATCTCTCCCCACGCACACAGTGTTGGGCTGTGCATGGGGACAACACACCCGAAGGTCCATGGCCCCGGGCATCCCCTTTCCCTTCCCAAACTCCTGGCAGACTTTGCTACAGCTGCTGCCAGACAATTACAACGTGTGTGGGAAAGGGACCCTTCACATATTCGTCTGGCAAAGTGAAAACTCCATAAACATCAGGAATTTACCCAACAGAAAAATCTTCCAGGCCTGATCCCTACAGGGATGGGGGAAGCCTGGAGGGCTTCCCCAGCTTGATGTTCTCTCACTGCCCTCCTTCTAACTCACAGGGACCATGCTAGGAGCGCATCCTCTTTGTAACGACCACACAGCGGAGTATCCTTCAGCATCGCTTGTTAGGGGAGGGAGCCACAAGCAGCATCCCTCGGCCGCTCTCCCTTGCTACGCTTTGAAGGCAAGGCTCTTGGAATGCGCCATGAAACACCTTCACACCCTAGAAAGCATCACATCGCATGGCAAGAGGTTGTGAGCATGCCCTGGTTTTACGTGGAAAGGTTGGGGTAGCGATCTGTGTGCTTTAATAAACACCCTCCGTCCCCCACCAAATAAGACCAGATTGAGCACACTGTTAGCCGAATGCCTATTTTCCCACAAAATCACTCAAAATACTGTATGCAAACCCGCAGCAGTACAAGGACCTGTGCCCACTGTTTCCAAGAACTCTTTGACTAAACCTTCTGGGCAGAGCGACATAGAGTTCCCAGAAGTGCTGTCAGGTCAGCACAGCTCAGCCAGGTTTGGAGGCTAATCACAGCCAGTAAACTTCCCACTGACAAGGGGCCAATTCCTACCTCCCATTTCGGCTTTCTGAGAGGTGTCCTTCCTTCCCGACCCCAATCCTTCACACCTTGCACCCCCGAAGTCAGTGAGCTGACTGGGATGAGGAGGATGAGGGTCACTGAAATGAAAATACTGACTATGTGTTTCACACGCTGCATCATGCTACATCTCACTCACGGCGGCAGCAATGCAAGGCAGAAGGGCGTCCAAAATATGTAGGCATGTGGAGGATACAAAAAAAGGAAAAAAAAAGAGTAGCAAGCAGAGGTTTTCTGCTGTAACATTGATCGTACAGCTGTATGTCTTGCGTTGTTATTTTCTATAAATACTGATGTGAAGAAGTTAAACCAATATAAAAGACGGTCAAATGATATTGATAAGCAAGGGACAGATTTTCTGAGTTCCTTACAACAAAATTCTCCATAACAGCTTTACAGAGACTATTTCAAATGTTAAAATCTAATTTAATTAGAAGAATTTGCTAATATTTATCACTTCTCCTTATTTTACTATGTTACATAACAAAGGGGCTCGAGATGTGCGATCGAGACGTTCAAGAAAAATGAGCGAGGAGGCATTCGTCTGGTTCATAATCAAATTACATTTGCAAGACAAAAGGAATTGCTCTAAATTCCAAATTAAGCAAACTGGGTATAACTGCACAGGACATGCAGCGTAGCTACGACTTAAAAGATGATTGCTTTAAATTCACATCTAACTGGCCTGCAAAGCAACCTGTTAAAAATACCATATGTTTTCCTACAGTTGAATATTCAACAGGAGACCTCTTTTTGTGTGTGCATTTCATACTTGCAAGATTTGCACCTGTAGTTCTGAGCACGTGACGCGTTTGATAGACAGCTAATGGCGCTAATGAATCGCTCTGATCTGGGTGTGCAGTTTATTGTGTGTGGGTAAAACGCGTGTCTGCAGAAAGCAAGCTGGGTCTCGGGCTCTCAGATCCCAGTCTCTCCTCCATCAAGTATTGCACTTTAAAATACTCATCGACAAGCTCCCCAAGGAATTTTTGTTTCTTGGGTTTGGTTGTGCTAAACACACAGGTTAACTGCTTCTGGATCCACTGACATAGAAAGCAGCTTAATGATAATGAAAAAAAATTTCATTTTTGGAGTTAGAAACACGTGTGTGAATATTGATTTACATCGGCGCAGAAAATCTTTCCATCAAAGACTTCTGCCCTCTAGGAGAACTTATTTACTTACAAAATTGAGAGATTGGGGCGTCTAGCTGGGGTACATTTCCTCCTTTAGCATTTAGCTTTTGCACTTGGGTAGGCGGCACAGGTTTGTGAGACTGGCCGGTGGCTCGGTACATGGCTTGGACCCACAGGATACGGTCCTGCTCATCGTCACTTGCAAAAATCACCGTGTCTCCTTCCTTCACAGCGTTGAAGAATGCTCTGCCGCCCTCCAAACCTGGCAGGAGAAGAAGCGACAAGGGAGTTTCACAGACTTTGAGGCCAGCCAGGGGATCTCCCCGGGCTTCCCGCCCCACTGCCGCCCCGGGTGGCCCCAACCAGCCCTGTACTGTCCCTGGCCCCTGCTTCAGCTCAGTCCCCTCGCCTGCCCCAAACTCACCTGCGAGAGAGCCCACCAGGTCGCACTCTGGACTAAACCATGCCCCAACACACTTGGATTAATTGCTTCCCTCAGCTACAGCCCCGTCTGTGGAGGTTCCATGTGGGTCGCACTTGCTGGAGCCCCATTAAAAATGGGTTTTGAGGGCACGCGGGGGGAGGTTTCCCATTCGAGTGAGTACACCAGTGCTCACACTGCACACAAAGCGCTTGGCTGATGTACTTATTCCTATCTTTGCCCTGATTCGGCACCCATCATCCCATCTCCCTAACATCAGAATCAACCTGGAATCAAGGTCTTGACAACCAACCCGCTGTGTCTTTCTTCATCTCCTCTGGGGATACCATTATGCGGGGCATGGTGGGGATCGCCTCGCTGAAAGAAAAGAAATGTGGTTCTCCTCCATTTGAAGACGGTCTCAGCACCACAACGGGTACCTCCAGGTACCAGGGGCTTTCTGCCCCCGTCCCTTCCACTCACATCCACCAGAGAGAAAATGGGGCAGGCAAAAAATACTGGGTTGGTCCCATAGATGTTGTCTACGATAAAGACAGACATAGCTGCTAACCTTTTATTTACAGAATATGATCTGAAGGCACAGGTTAGGATCCTTACTTGATTTGTGCATTCCATTCACCATCAAATTTCATTGGGATTTAAGCGCCTAATTCACTTAGGCTCCCCAGAGAAGATGAGCCTTTCCCTCCTCCGGTGCAACTCCTAGCTCAATTCCTGAAGTCTATTTATAGTAAAGTCATGCCTAGCTAATGATCAGTATAAACACAAACTTATTTATAATAATGCTGATCACAGTTCAGCTGCAAGCGGGGAGGGAGGGAGAGACGGAGAGAGGACTCCCGTTTGGGAGCCGCAGGCAGCGTGGTGAGCACGAGCACCCGCGGGCGCAGCAGCAAGGCGACGGCCCCGTACCTGGCTGCGGGTCGGTGTAGTCCACAGTGTATCCGTCGAGCTGCAGCAGCTCTTGAGGTTCAGCTTTTTTCTCCCGGTAGCTGCACATCGCAAACGTGTATTGACTAACCTGGAGAAAACCACAAAGCTAAGATGGCACCGGGTGATCACGACACGGCAATCCGAAGCGCTTACAAATGCCGCACGCTGGCGGCGTGTTTACAGGGACCGGGGGGCGGCGGGGTAATTCTGACGGTCACTGCCCATACGAGACAGACTAAACTTTTGGCCAGGCTTTTGCCAAGCTCCCTCCTAACACACCCTGCCGCGGCAGGCATCTAATTCTCCGCATCAGTACATACAGCGGTTTAATTTCCTCCCGAAGAGGAAGCTGCACGCTTTAAAACCCTCTTATCATTCATCCCCAGACAAGTGCAAGAGTGACACCCTGTCACAAACAATGTGAGCTAAATTGCTAGGTGCCAGTCATATTAAAGCAATCTTAAGATCCCACTGATCTCGGCAGTTGTTGTCATCAGTGCTGTAAATGGCAGCTCTCACTCCTCTGAGGTACCATCTGCATGACACGATACATTCAATGTCAAGCTCTTGACGGAAGCCGACTCAGCTGCGGGGGCTCTGCCAAGCTCCCGAATCGCCTTTAGGAGGCCATCAGGCCGCATCAAGACCCCGCGTGTACTCAGCGTGCTGCAATCTGGACGGTCGGCGAAAAGCTCGTCCAGGGAGGAGAGGAGAAGAGAGGATTCTCCGTGCCCCGGGCTAGGAACTCACGGGGAAATTTACTGTCAAATGATTTCAAATGACTTTGTTAAGGTTGTGTCACATCCTGGACGCCTGACGTAATTTTATTAGTCTGGACATTTTCTTGACCTCTAGAGGAAACTTTAAAACTCTGGTGGGTGGCAACGGATCGTGCTCGTCATTTTTTGGAAGTCGAGAGAGATCCTGAAAGACGGGAGAGCGGCTGGGCTGGGGGATTTTGCCTTCAAACTCCAGACAAATCGCTCGTCTACAAATACACATGCAGCACCTATTTTGGTGGGATCTGTCGCTAATAAAATGTTATCTATTTCAGTCAGGGGACCCATCTATTGGCGTAGCATCTCCCAGCCGGCGCTCGGTATATTGCTGCCCTCTACGGGCTTCTGCTAGCTGCCAGCCTGCTCTCAGCAGCCCTGCCTGCACCGTGCCTTCCTCCAGGAACAGCTCCAAAAGCCACCTAAGAATAAACCCTATCATTAACACATTTGTGGGAGTAAGACTAAAAGTGATGCTTTAAGCATCTTGCATCCTCCTTAAAACTCCCAGCACTGACGGAAGATTGACAAGTAACAGACCAATAGCAGGAGCACACCAGTGCCTATTCCATGCTATGAACTTTGAATGCACACCACCGTACCGGCAACACAAAAATTAAAAAGATTAACACGAAGAAATCTAAAAATAACCTAGTGCCCCACAGTACAACATTCAGACGACTCCCGCAGTGTTCATTCAGTGGAACTTGCAGTATATTGCTGCCACCTCCTGGAGAAACTCTTGAATGTGCTTTATGTACAGTAAGATCCCGGAGATTTCATCGGAGCGGGGAGGATTCGGTTTCTCTGTGATAGACAGCCTGAACTCCAGGGACTGCGTGATAAATTTAATTCCTGAAATGAGTCAGTGCTAAACTACGCTCACATTGATTGAAAACGTTAATACAACTAATGTTTTTTTTCCTCTCGTGCATGCTCTGTAGCAACAGGTAAAGCTCATTCAGTAGTTCAGTTCCTTCTTCTCTGACCCTGACTATGAGATCTGAATTTCAGGCTCTTCTCCATGCACAAATAACTGGACCCAGAAAATATTCTTCATCCCTATCAATAAGCCAACCATACCACCACAACAGTAACGTATGGAAACACTCGCAGGCATTTCAGAGCTTATATCTCTTGTGTTAAAAGTTGTAAAAGACAAATGTAGACAGTGGGCTCTGGTGAAGCCATAATGGGACAGAGGCAAAGTGGTGTCTCCTGACAGCTTGGAAGAAGCTGCTCTACATCATTATTAGAAGAGACCTCTACGAGAAGCCCACAGGTGGGTCTACAACATCCAAAGAGCCAGGGCTCACCTGGGCTGACGTCCTTTTCTTCTCTACTTACACAGCTCAAGTCCAAAGCCCAAGCTCAGGATTGCCCAAGAGCCTGCTGGCAGGAGCCAAGCTAGGATCAGGCTGGAGGGAGGAGACAGCTATCGATGGCCTCTGGAAAAGGTGCCAACGGTGCCGTGCAGAGTGCCTGTGCCTAAACAACCCGACCTACTGACTGCAAGGACTGGCATACAGCCTGTCTGTCCTGTCCTGCTGCTGGAAGCATTTACTGCCTGGGGTCAGAAAGAAGCCCGTGCCCTGGCTACCACTGCAATGTGGATCCTTCCATTTATGAGCGGTGGTAAAGCAAAACCTGACAAAATGAGATTCAAGAAAGCTCGATATGTCACGATTGTGCTCTGCTGCCGAACAACACTACAGGGTCAAGTGGAGATTGCAGCTTGCCTTTCATCGGTCCTCTAAAATATTGTGCTTTACAGAGCCTGCTCTCTGCAGAAGCTTAGAAGTGGCCAGACAAGTGAAACAGTTAATAGCAGAAATTAATCTTACAGCCTGCTGAGTTCACACCGAACCATAGCTGAGTATGAGAGTGAGCGAGCAGATGGGATGGGCAAGATGAATGGTTTGAGTAATTGGAAAAAGCACAGATACAGAGAGGAAACTGAAGGAAGACAGAGGAGAAATCTCTGCCCAGTGAGGGACAAACTCTCAAAGCAGCTGGGATTTCATCCAGGGACTTGATGAAGGCCAGGAAAGGAGCATCTAAGGAAGCTGAACTGAGCGAAACTAAAAGAAGGGAAATAATCCAAGGCTGCCCTGGCTGGTTCATGACAAAAAAGGGAAAACACTTTAAGAAATAATTTGAGACAAAAGAACAGAAGGAAAAGAAAGTGGCAAGAACGAGAAAAAGACAAAGAAATTCAGGAAAGGGAAAGTAGACAGTGGGAGACAAATGCCAAAGTTCACTATTCCCAGGCTGCTAAATTAGATCTGACTTTCTTGGCACTTGACCATATTCTGTCACCAGCTATATAATCCGACTGATTAATAAATACAGTAGATATGCATTAACCAGTCCTGACTTTGTCCTTGTTTCTCCACCAGAGACTCCTGCTCTAGCGAGCACCGCTTTCCCCCGGATTCTGCTCAAACCTGTTAATTGTCGTCCCTCACACTCCGAGTTCAGTCATCCGCCTCCCCCTTTCCCACTGTTGACATAACACCGCCCCACTTGGGTTAAATTCTTAAATGGACCTTTCCTAGATTAACAGCGTGCATTTTGTCCCAAGGGAGAGAAACTGTGCTAAGATACTGCCAGCTGTAATACAGCTTTCCTCTTTGATGGGAGACTCTTGTCCTCTGGTTGCAGCTGTACGTTGCCTCCCGAGCCCTTTGCTGACACAAATGAGCAGAGGAAACGATCTAGCTTAAAGAGACAAATGCGAAAACAACAGTTTTCACATCTCAGCACGTCCGTTCAGCCCTAAACAATTGCACATAGCAGTTGTCCTAACTTCTTCCTTCAAGCAGGAGGTGTGCGTGCGCTCTCCTGGGGCAGGGCTGTGTGATGGGAAGCCACCCCGCGTGAGTACGGACGGGGCAGGCAGGACCTGCCATAGCCAGGTGTAACGAGCTGCGGCATCTATTTAACCAGCGGTTCCCAAACATTTCGTATTTGTCATCAACACTCAAGGTTTCTCAAGAATCAACACCTATGCCCAGTTCTCAGCAAGGGTCTAACTGAAAACATGATTTAATATGATTATGGGGACCAGCTACGGGTCATTTACCTTAACTTGAGGACCACAGTCTAGGACCGCCGGTGTAGAATACTGCAATTTTGCCAAATTATTTTCAAATTCTGTTGGTTATTTGGAACTAGTGAACACTTACTTCATTTCATTTTATCCCGAGTCATCTGAGTTTTGCTAAAAGCAGAAACTGTCACTGCTAGTCTAAATTATAATGAGTCCAGGGAGTCTGTCACTAGAACAATAGATCCAGGCGTAGACACTGCAACTGGTTTTAATCTGCAGTGAGTTGATCTGGTTCCAACAACATTCTGCAAACACCATCAGACACAATCAGCTGAAAACTGCTTCAAGCTACTCAGCAGACATGTCATCCAGGTACCATGGAGTGTTACTTCCCATATGCTGCCAGAGCACAGAAACGGGGTTATGACAAGAGAAGAACAGATTCAGTCTGAAATCTCAATGTAATTAATTCACTTGCCCTTAAGAATCTTTAGAAGAAATTTCCTATCGCAAAGCCAGCAAAGCTACCAGAACCAACAATAGTGTTGTTGCCTGTACAGCACATTAGACCTTGCAAAGAATTAATACAAACTCTGTCAGCTATCAAAAATCCCAGCTTTTGCGCGATCGAGGGTCTAATTGGCAAACTGGCTGAAATTTGTATGCTGTGCTCAGGCAGCTGTTATAGCAACTTAGGAAACACTTACAACATCTGCGATGGATGTACATTTTCTCTCCTAACCAGTCACGGAGAACTTTGCCCTAAATTGCTCCGTTGCTTTCGCTTGCCACTGCCACTGGCGTTACTGTTGCCTTTACGAAGCATTTTCCTCACTTGTGATGCTGCGGACCATTTCCATCCAAGCTCAGGGCCATATTCTGCCATCGCTTTCACACTGCATATCTCAGGATTTAAAATTAGGCAAGTAACGAGTCTCTGCCATGTAATTTACATCTAATCAGTATTCTGCTCTTCTGCTGCTCATCTCAAAGGGTGTCTACGAGAAGGGTGGGCAGCGTTCAGAGAGGACTGCGATCCATTTGGAAGAGAAAACTATCCCCTCTTAATCGTAGGGGTGGACGCTGGCGGAGCACAGGCACCAGCTCTGCCAGTCACGCCGTGCTGTCAACCATCACCGAGGGGTTGAACCAAGGCCACCCAGCAACGCCTGCGCCGGAGAGGTAAGGCCCACATCTACAAATGGCACAAAGGAACCGCTATCACCCACTACACCCAAACAAATCATCTCCACTCCGGTACAACCCTCGCAGCTACACAGACACAGAAGGTGCGAGGGATTATTCCACCCAAATTACAAGGCAGTCATTGCTCCTTTCCCCCCCTCTCCAGGGCTCGCACCAGCCAAGCAGCACTGGAAGTGCTCCCTGCAGAGCTCCTTTTCCTACGTACGCGCGCAAAGCCTCCGTTCATACCGGCAAGGCATCACTGACACAAAAGAGACAAACTGCCATCAGCACCTTCCTCCTTGGTGCCACCCATGCAGTTTGGCACCTCTGTGCCTTGTTTAGACGGTTATGAAGAGTTTGGGTATTTATTACCATGAATTTCTTAACCGCTGGTACCAGAAGGCAGAGCGGTACCACCCAATAGCACTGAAGAAACAGAGACTGCGTCCACCTGAAATATAGAAAAAGGGGCAGGAGAGGGCACAGGACCAGGAGGAGGAGGATAATCTGCAAGGGACTGGAGGGGAGACAGAGCTGCAATAGAAGATGCTACAGGTAAGGGACAGAGACAAGGGATGAGAAAGGAAATGTTTAGATCTTCATCTGAATGTACAGCCTTGACCTCTTGGCAGTGTCCCAGACTGACCAGACCACTATATCCCAAACGGACTTTACACTTTGGGCTCCATCTCTCGGCAAGCAGGAGCCTGGTGCAGATGAGCGAGCTCCTAAAACAGGGGCTGCTGCTCGTCCGTTCTGTATGTAACAGAGCCAGCTCACCTTCCTGCGGGGGTTATTTTCTGTCTGCGGTTTAGCAGAGTTCAGAGCATCCTGGACATCAACACCTTTGCTGCCAATCCCTGTTCGTATCAGCACCCATCCTTTGCATTGCATGAAAAGCAAATGACAAACATACGGACAGCAAAGTATTTTTATTCCATCTTTATTGCCTGCTGACATGTTCAATATGCTCAAACTACATCTGAGGGACTGCATAGAGAGTGTTTCTTGTTTATATTTGATGTACGGCAGAACACTTTACATTGCACCAAATGTTGAGCAAACGGTAACATAACAGAGAAGCTGCAGTGGCAGCTGGAATTTCTGAGGTGGGCTACAGAGACTCTCTGGGGGCAAAAGTCTGCTCATCTTATTCAAATGAATCGCTTTTCTGGCCAAATTCTGCTCTTATATGCCAACTGACGAATACAGACCTAGTAACATGAGAAAACATGGAATAACTCTGAGAGCTTCAATTCCACAGCAAGCTGAAGAATATATAGCAGCTGAAAACTAGAGAAGTAACTGCAACCACACAGAATGGCCAGGAGAAGAAAGGCTCCTCGAGAGAGACATGGAAATCCATCTCCAAACCTGCAAACCCTTGCACAGAACAGCATCAACAGATTTATTTATGGGAGAAGCTATGTTAGGAAAGAGGATTCTCTGCTTTGGAGAAGTGGTCTAGCTCTGCAAGATGCTGGGTTCCCCTGCGAGATGCCAAGCACCCTACCTCACCAGGGACCTCACCAAGGGTGCATTTGCAAACCAGATGCCTCTAGAAATGGATTACACAGATCCTAAACCCATCACTTTTACCTAAATCTAAATATACTGCTTGGGCAGATAGAAGCATCTGCGCTAACTCCCCCACTTCTGTGGACATTTTGACCCCATTTGGAGTACAAAACGGGCACATAAACTGTGGCTGCTGATCATACTTGGTTATTGGAATAAGTACTCAACTGTTCTCTCCAAATAGGCTCCTATTTACATGCATCACGCACATCACAAATCCCTTTTACCTCCCCAGGATGGATTTTCTTACCTGCCACATCACTCAGCGCTATGGAGGCCAGCAGTGATGGACAAACGGGGAATGCCATTAAGCATCCTACTAAGATAGTTGAACTTGGAGTAATAATTAACTCAAAACAAACTGACCAGTTTACACCAGGTGATTTAGGACCAGAGTAACCATCTGTGTAAGGTGGGAGATGGACTGCGCGGACTCCTCCCCTTACCAGCACACAAGCATCCATCCCGAACGTGGAGCCTGGCGCTTCTGGTTTAGACTGCCTCTGTTCTTACACACGGGCAAAACCCCAGTCCGTCTGCGGCAGATCTGCCATCTGCTTCACCGGCAATAGGATTTCACCCTCTGACATGATCGCTTTGAACCTGTGCTGGCCCAAGATCTCAGCTGGATCCCACGTTAATCCATCAGAGCACCTCTGTCTTGCTTTCGTCACAGGACCCCGCACAAAGCTTTTATTTCTCAAACTTGAAGACAACATTCCCTGGGGAACCCAGAGAGGAGGGAGAGAGAGACGGAGCCAAGAGGACTCTGTGCCTTTATCAGATTGGTGTGAAGACGGAGCTGCTCAAACTGGGGCCGCATGTTTCTGTGGCCAGCGCAGTGGTTTCAGCTGCCTTTGGGAAGTTGAGAGATCTACACACCAAGTACCGACCAGAAATATTTAGGTCACAGAGGACATCTTCCTGTTTCCTTGAAATTCTTAATCATGGTCAAATATACAGGTTTACTGAAACTGGGAGGGTAGAAACTGAGAAAAGAAAAAAGGGAAAAACGAAGAAAGGAAGAAAGACGTCGCAAAATGATCGATGAGAGCTGTAGACCATGAGAGACAGTAATGAATGTAAAGGCAAGATAAATGTCAAGAACGATATGCTGACTCTGATGTAGCCAGTCATGAAACTTCTGTAGATTTCAATGGACTTCAAATTTTACCTGGAGGCTTAAGAGGGAACATTTGCACCCAAGTACCTCCAGCCAAGACAAACCGAGCTTCCTCCCCATCTCATTAATTGCTCACTAAAACTGGTTGTCCGTTTCACCAAGCATTCATGTGCATCAGGAAACTCGTGACAAGAGGTCTGCAACTGGAATACCCTTGAGAAGATGTATACATTCAGAAAAAAATCATGGAATCATAGAATTCACATGCATCAGGAAACTCATGGCTAGAGGTTTGCAACTAGGATATGCTTGAGAAGATGTATATATTCAGAAAAACATCCATGACTTAAGAGATACTCTATGCAGAACCACAGCTTAGCAGCAATTACACAGCACTGAAAATGGCCACAGGAAGCACTTAAATATTTCATGTTGTGATTGAAGATCACTTCTAGTTAAATTTGTTACCTGGACCAGGACAAAGAATCGTTTCTTCCACCTCTTCCAAACATTTTTACCAATGGCCCATAAATACCTAGGAGAAAAGAATAGGTGAATTCAGTCCACAAGTGACTATATGTTGTTCTCTTGCTTTTCAGTATGTTTTCTTTACACCTAGAAACTGAAGCTAATGCACAAGCAGGAGTAATTACAAGAGTCTTAAGTTCAGCAGCATTCATGAATGTGTTTATTTCTAGCCTGAGCAAATAACCTGTAAAGAAAGTGACACAAAAAGCTCCCAGGTTCTTAATGCTGCACAGTATTAATTCTCTTGTCCTCTTTGTCTTTCACAGCTTTCTCAGAATTTAGAAGCCCTTTAATGCCAGTAAATAGCTATGACATGGTCAGATGGGTGAAAAATACATTTGAAACGGAAGAATTAAGGGACATAAACCCCAAATGTTGCTTTAAGCCTTCACAAAAACATTTGGCTGAGGGGAACTGTCAGAGGGATACTTACTGCATCAAAACCAGTACCCGGGATCCCAGTACACACTGGACTGACTAAACCAGGACACTTCACTGAACAGCTTAAGATGAATTCCTAGAAATAACTTGGCTGCAGATATTCAAGCAAACTGAATAATTTCTAAGCAGTGAATTTATTGTTTTCTACAAAGGAAGAATTAACTTTTAAAATTAATGTCAAAATTAGCATTTAATCTCCGTGATGAAGCGGCCGCTGTGACACTGTAATACAAACACTGGCAAAAATAGTGGCAGCACCAGACTAATAATAACCAGAAGGACATTATTCAGCATTAATATGCTTTATGTATCTTTATAATTACTTTAGTTCTGGCTCAATAAATAGAAATACAATTCCTTTTCGGTTGTGCTAGTGGTTCCTTATGCCAGAAGAGATCCAGCATACTCCTGGTGAATGTTGAAGCCACAAAACTCCAAACCATGCTAACGTGGGCACTGAGTCCTTGGCTAGTTCAAGAACAGGGCAATAATTGTCCTTTTTGCTGCTGCCGCTAACATCAACAGAAAGACAATCTCAGCTCTGATAGTAAGTATTATAAACCACACAGTTTTAAGCATCATCTTGTAAATCAAATGTTAATTCAAGGAAGCCTCAGAAAAGCCAGAACTGCTCATCCCTGTTGCTACCAGCTGAGGTCAGGGAAACAAATAAGACAGGTGAACTGTCCTTTCTTGCTTTTGGTGTCTGTGACCGTGGTGGAAAAATTAAACTTCACATGTGTCTGATTCACATGGCTTCACATTGGCTCTGATCTCATCAGCAGAGAAGACAGGAGGAGGAAGAGAAGGAATCAAAAGAAAGATGAGTGATCCAAACCATCTCATAATGGATTGAATCTAACAAAACACTATGAAAATAAAAATGAAAAACAAAGTCAGTTTTATAGCACTAAAAACATACCAAAGAAAGAGTTAATCAAAACAGTGGCTTTCCTGGACAGTTTCTATTTTTTTATCACATCCTCAGCTCTGAAGAGCAAACAGAGGAAAGCCTTGCCAATGCTGTTAGCCATTAGCCTCAGATCTTCCCACGGATGATCTAATTTGTAATTGCAGGGCACAAAGGTAGAAGCCAGGGGTGGTGGTAAGGGGTCCCCCAGGCCCCAGGTCCTCTGACACTCACGTCCGGAAGGGAGAGGTTTCCCTTTTAACCTTCCAGATCATTAGTCCTACACCAGGCAACCGCCTGCTCCAGGCAACTGCTATTTAATTGTGCTGTGTATCTCTGTATAGATAATGATGATGACACTGGAGTTTATTTCAAGCGGAAGGTGCTCTGAGAAGTCAATACAGGGAAACACAGAATAACTTAGGAAATTATACTATTCTCAGTAAGAGAGTCAGACAGTTCACCTATTATTTCCTTACAGGAAAAAAAAACCAACCTAGCAATTTCCTGAGGAATACTGTTTAAGGTTTAAACTATTTGGCTGCTATGCATTAAAAAGACGATGCTACCAACATAGAAAGTGCATTATAAATGACTGAACTAATGCCATTTTTATACTTATCTTTCTTTCAACCTCCCATGAACTTGAGAAAAAGTTTCTCTTCCAGAATCTTAAAACCAAGAAACTTTCTAATGCACATTCATAACAAGTTGAGTTCAGACCGAGACAAGCGTTTACCCAGAGTGCTTCATGTTTTGAGGCTTATCCATTCGCACGGCAAGCTTGATCTTCAGGTCTTGATCCGGGCAGTTTTTGGAAACAGTCATTTTGTGCCACTCTGATTGCTTTGGGCTATTGGGAGTAGGGTGGAGAACAACCTGCAAGTGTCAAAATCAACAATGTTAAAGGTAAAATTATTCACAAAATAGGTTTTAATGGGGAACAAAAGCACATCAGATGAGCTACCCTTCCCCTAAAAGTCAGTCTGGAAATTTCTATTCACCTCAGTGAGGATGGCTTTTTAATTGCTTTTGCAAAGTACAGTTTATTATTTTGAGATTAGTTCATATGTTCTTTAGCTCCTCTATCTATGGTGCCATTGTTCATGGGGTTGTGCAGAACACAACTGCATTATCAGTTCCCATCATCTAAGGAGAGACTGTTGTAAACAAACTTGCAACTGCCAGGTAAATCAGACTAGAAGTGATGGTGGACTAATGTGATTAGCAAACCAGCAACAGGTTTTTTGCTGAGGTTGCCCACTGGAACTGCCCACATTCAGCCTTATACAACTCAAGTCAACCTTCCTGAAATTTCCCACGTGAGGTGTGATGTTTCGAGGGCTTAGAAAACTCTACCTAAAATGGTTCATCTACTGCTACTATCAGGTTGTAGGGAAGCTGGCTTGATTTTTTGCTTACTGTTAAGACTGGATGCAGTAGGCAAAATTTTAGGTAGGCTGGTGTGTCTGACTGCACTACGACAGCAGATAAAACCTCCATCCCATGTCATGACATCAGTGGCTGCAGGACTCTCTGCTTCCATTTCATGCAGTGAAGAAATGATGGGACGGTCTCCAGCTGGGGTAAATCAGTGCAACGACAATGACTGCAGTGGAGCTGTGCAGATGAACACCAATGGAAGCGCTCGGCTCATCAAAGAAACTGAAAGGCTCCCAAATGTGAGTAACCTTTCCTGATCATAACTGTGCTTTTCCACTCACCCATTACCCCTACAAAGCAGAGCAGCTCCATCAGACAGCGAGTCACAGAGTATTCTCCCAGAACTACACCACATCCACCATCTTCTCCTGGTGTTACCATATGTGTCTTTTGAGGTGGCTTAACCCTCTCCCTCCTGCGCCCATTCCTCTTCTGGTGCTTTCACCCTCAGAGGTGACTTTGCATGGCACAAATTCATTCAAGTCTCCACTGTCCTGTAGTGAGATGACTCTCCTTTAAATCCATTAACCTTTACGCAAGCAAATTATTTTACAAATGGCAGCATTCACCCTTGTTATTTAATGTGCTGCTATTCCTTGCTCATGCTTATCCGTGCTCCTGCCAAACTCCAGCCCAGACTATAATCTTGTATTTCTCTGCTCTTCAACTTTACTGCTGAGTCAACAACCTAGGGGCTGTTTTCCACCAAAATATCCTTGACGCTATTACCCTCTGATGAATGGTTTTACAAATTATTTTATTGCCTCCTCCAAAGCCTGAGGTTAACATCAGTAGATTCTCATCTTCACCCTTATTCATCAACATTATCTATCACTTCTTTTATTGAATTAGACTAATGCTTTCCCTGGCAGGAATCTGAAGCTGTTATTAGTTACATAGATAACTGAGCAACAGCAGTGTCTACGGCATCACTCTTGGAAAAAAACAAAACACATTTTAGCAAATCCTGAAGATGAACAGTGAGTCCTCCACGTGGGGTGTTGTTAGAAACAGGGATGGACCCAAACTGTGAGCAGTATCCAAGGTCCCCCACTGCAAAGCAGGCCATGCAAGCACATAGACTTGCACTAAACCGCACCTCTCAGCGAGGCAGCAGCCACTCGGGGAGCTGTGGATGCTCTCTACTTTGATTTCTAACTCTTTTTCATCAAAAGGCGCACAAACTTTGCTCAGTGGTGTTGTAATTCATGGCCCTTCCCCTCTTTGCTCTCAGTAGATGAAGTCTTGGCATGGCTGAAATCCGTGGGAGCCTTGCCACCGGCTTCAATAGGGCCAGGATGTATTCCCATGCCTTCAGCTGCCCATCCAGCAGTTCAGGGCTTGGGAGCATTTTCCAGCTCTGTCTTTGATAAAAGTGGTGAAATGAGGAGTGCCGGCCGGTTGCCAATTTAACACTCGCAACAGAAAGTGGGCATTGTACACGCCTGGCAGAGCACAAAGCCGCCTCTCAAAGGGTGGCTGAGCATGGGTGTTTTTGTGTATAAAACCTGCTTCCCTCCTCTGGCCTTGCAGACAGGTTCATGCCCACTCCAACAGCTGAACCAGGGGCTTAACACGCTCCCGGTTTCATTATTTCATTAAAGAAGAAATCCTGATGCAGCCTGAGCAGACACGCGTCATCTCCCGGCCGCTCCGGGCACACCGAGCATCCCTTTGAAGTGCGCCCGACTGAAAGCGCTGGTGGCCACGGGCCAGGGGAAATCACTGGCCGGCTGCCCGCGCTCGCCGCTACTGGCCCACGTCCTTCGGCCCAGAGAAGCTCAGAGCCGAGGGACGGCTTCCCGCTGGACCGGGAATTAAAGCGCATTGGCAGGGCTGGCTCATCAGCATTTCAGGGCAAGAGGGGTTGCTCTGGGGCCTGACGTCTTTCTCAGAACAACACGCACGGCTAATTGCTTCCCGAGACCAGCAAAGTCAGCACCGCTCATGGCTGCCAGTGGAAACAAGACTTACAAAGCAGGCGGGTCTACAGCGAGCGTAACCACACAAGGGAAAAAGCCCTGAATGGCGTCACGGCCGGCTGGGTGAAAAGCTCTGCTCAGCACGCTGCAGCACATAAAGGCAGCTGTTTGAAGAAGAAGGTTTTGAAAATAATCCCGAAAATATTACGATGCTGGGCAGCAAAGCAATGGCAGGTCTTCCACTGGGAGCCTAGTGGGGTCACCCCCTTGGTCAAAAGAGAAGGAGAAAGGAAGGATCAAGGTGTGGGTGAGGAAAGTCTGAAGGGGCTGTGACTCTCTTTGAAGAGAAGATTGAGAGGAGAAAAGAAGGGGTAGCTTTGTCTTTCTCTCTCTCAAGTGCAAGAACAAAGGATGTTACGTGAACGTGAAAACACAAACAGTTAAAATGAACGTAAATTACATGAGACGAAATCACACGCAGCACTCTCCACCATATATACCTAAATTAAATCAACAGCTCCCTAGGACCTGAAAGAACCTTTGGCACTTGTATGAACAGTATGAACACAAAAGCTCGTTAATTAGGGAAAACATTGTTGTACAGACAGACTCTCCTGTGTCAAGGCAAAAGCAGCCATGGAGTTAGCAAGAAACATCCCAACAGGTTAGTCCATAATTGGAAATACCATACTTAGGCTTGCCACAGGATCAGTGGCTCTCTTGGCCATGGCTTTCTTGGCCATAGCCATGTAGACATGGCGGAGAGCAAGGTGTGCTGCGGAGCCGGGCAGACAGAGCCCAGGTGCTCCTGGAGATCGCTCAGGCCACGCTGAGCCGTGACACGGGAGGTGCCAAGCCCATGTGTAAGGTGCAGCCTCTCTTACCCTGAACTGATTTTCATGGGGTCTTCACAACGTTGACCTCCCACCCCTGAGAGCTGTGGAAGGCATGGCACTTATGCCTGGGGCCAACACAAACTACACAGCTGCAAAAATTCCATGGAGACAAACTGAAGCGTCCCAAAGCCACAGGAAAGTGCTGTCCGCAGATACTCTGGAGCTGTGGGCTGCAGCGACGGAGGGCCACCAGTCCCAGGGCGCCGGTTTAGGGACCACAGGTGAGGGGCAGAGCTGGGGTGGGAAGGCAGGTTCTGTGGCCAGTACCCTGGGAACCTGAGCTACTAACACTATTGGTGGGGGCAATAACCCCCATGTTTCACTCCCCAGTCCAGCCCCACCGAAGCCACCAGTTCAGCCACAATCCCCAGGGGAAGCCAGGATTTGAAGCCCTTTGCAGTGGGTACTGCAGTCAGCGCTTTCAAATGCTCAAACCGTGCACCGGCTGCTCAGCAGATATGAGAGCAGCTTAAGGCTCCCTTGCCAAACTTAAATCCCTTCTTTTTGCTTCAGCATAATCCCCTTTTCTGCCTCTGGAATGTCCATTTCCGTAAGCAACTTCTAAGGCTTTCCGGACTGCCAATATCGCACACAAGACCCTCTGCCTCTGCTCAGCGCAGGCACAGCCAGCTGAAATGCTGCCACTAGAAACTCACAACAAAGACAGCATGCGAGATGCACTCCTTTCCAGCAGTGGAGAGCTTGCTTTCCCCCCGCCCCCCCCACCTCCTGAAGCTTGGCAAAAAAGCAGAGCATGTTGTGCTCCAAAGATATTTCCGTACAGGAGAGATTTCTCTAGAAAAGCAGGGCCAGAAGGAAACATTATTAAACTCAAAATCTCCTTACCCTCCCAAGCTCTTTGTCCTCCAGAGCCAGCACTCCTGTGCTCTCCGTGAACAGCTTCACCTTCACCGCAGGAAGCGCGTGTGTAGTTGTGAAGTCTCCTTGGGTGCCCCAGCTGTGAAAGGAAGGACAAGAGAGATGTTCAGCTCCACTGGCAGGTCGGCAGCGCTCCACCTTGGGCGTGCAATGGTTAACCAAAAATGTCCTCTCTGGCACAAGCAGAAGTGGCTGGGCTGTCTGAATGACAAGGGTATTAATTATCTTCTTAGGGAAACGTGGGACAGATGTTTGGAAAAACTATGATGGTGTTTTGGGGGGAAAAAAGAGAGTATTTCGGAGCAGCATGAAACCAAATTTAAGAGAACTTTTTTATTTAGAAAGAACAATATGTCTCCTGCAGCGACAGCCTGTGTAGTCACAACAGAGTTTGAGGATTGAGGACATCTGCACCTAGGACATCTGTAATCACTCATGCCTCTACTCTTCTCTTGGCTCATTAACTTCTCCTTTCCAGGTTGATAGTGAGGTTTGCTTTCTCTGAAGAAACACCAGTCTCACCTGGGTCCTCTTTTGAGTCCCTGCCCAGCCCAGGTTTAAGTTCAGGCCACCACATCTAGAGTAATCCTAGTTTGCTGGGACTGCAGAGCAGGACCCCGGCTCCTTGGGGATGGGACAGCAGAGGCCACCTCTGCAACTATGCAATGAACCAAGACCACCATCTACTATTTGTACTCCGTGAGTCACCCCCCGGCTGGTCCCATGGCTTAGAAAGCTGCAATATAGAGGCTGAATGACCCACAGTATGAGAAACCCCCACTCTAGACAGGCACGTTTCCAGATGACACCTCCAAGCTCCTGCAACCACAAGCTGCCCGAGTGCGCAGAGGACATGAACTCATTCCACGTGGGACCCTGCAAGCAGAGGGTCCCAGCCACAGTCTGCCGACACCTATGGCCAAATTGCCATTTTAAGTCTCAGACGGGGAGCCCACCCCGCAGCTGACCTTCCTCGTGCGAATGTGGGAACCGGAGCAGCCCTGCAGCCTGGAGGGAGGTCTGGTGATGGGCATGAGCACGTCACGCTAGAGGTTTCCTCTCTGGCCCTGGACACTTGGGGAAGCTTTGAGGACAGAGCCACAGTTTGATCACAGCCCATCACACTTTGTTTCAGGGACTTGTTCCCCTCCCAGCGAGCAGCGTGCTGCAGATGGAGCTGCTGCCTGGTGACACCCATGAGGGCTCACCTGAGCTGTGCTGGCGAGCATCCTCCTGGGGTTCTCCTAGAGACAGCCAGACCTGGCACAGCAGTCAGCTTTCATTTAGAGAGATCGTAGAAAAAAGAAACCTGTGACACACCAAATCCGTTCAACATCCTAAGGGCCATGGCTTTTCAAATACTCTGATGAAGAGCCTCCACAAGCGGTGCCACTCACACCAGCATGTCAAATTACCCACCTGTGCTAAGGTTTTTGAGATACAGGAAAATGCTCCCCTCTGGCAAACAAGCACAGACTGAAGAGGGTCACGGAACAAAAATTAAGTGGAACTTGAACTAATGCCTATTTGCAAGCTTTAAACAATTTTGAAAGTAGCAGAGAAGAGAAAAAAAACCCACCTTCTACGGTAAGGGGTAAAAAGTCATGATGCTCTTACGTTTGACATTTCACAGCTGTGTTTCAAGCTTTGTTTCTACAGCTTAGAAAGTTTGAAACTTATTAAAATAAAGACAGACAGAAACATCAGACAGAGCGAAGCACTCCTAAAACAGAGACCAGCTCAGCAAAAGATGAAGAGCAGAGGAGAACTGGGGAAGAACGCACCACTGCAAGGAGGATGCTCCTGAGCATTTGACCATGCAGCAGCCCAATGTGAAACTAGCAGATAAAACTGCTCTTTTCTTTTTATCTTTACCTTTCTCTTTGTTGTTTTATAATTCATTGTAAGCTAGATTTCTGTGTTGTTCCCAGAGACCCTGAAAATTCATCACACTTCAAAACTCATGCAAAGCGTACAGGAAAGCTTGAAGGATAATCACAGACAAGGTGTTTTTTGTAAACTAGAAGAAACCAAGAGCATGCCATGAGAAACACCTCCAAGTGATGTGACGGAACACACACTGCAACCTAAAACACTGCAAGTCAGATGAGAGATTATCCCGTATCTCACTTATCACTTCTATTCACCCTCACGCTATGAACGACAGTTTGTTATTTTACGCTGTCCTCAAACTAGATCCTCTGCTGAAGAAAGGCAACTCCCTTGAAATGACTGGGGAAAGGCTCAGATGACATACAGTCCAGCGACCACATGTTCTTCAAACATAAATACCAAACAGCAGGTTTTGCATTTGGAAAGTTGTTGGGGAAAAATAATTTACTCCTTCCTGTGCGCAAAGAGGATGGGTTTATGCTTTACTCTCCACTGGCAAATCTTGTCCAACTGAGCTTAGCAGATGAGCGTGTTCAGCACAGAGCTGATTAACGAACTCTGTTTCTTCACCAGCTTTGCTCTGAAGTTTCTTCTCCCAGTGTCACTGTTCCACGTTTTATCTTTTATGACAATGCATCAAACTGCCACCGGTGCCAGGGAGCACAGGTTTGGCATAAATTATCTACAGCACTACAGTCCAGTGAGATCCCCAATATTGCATCTTTTTCAGCTACTTAATAAACATTTTAAACATAAGAACTGAGAAACAACCTTATTTTCTAATTGCAGCTTCGGGTCACAGGTTATGTCTTCTCTCTTAAGAAAACCGCACTGTCAGCAGCAGGGAAAGAAGGAAGGTAATCTTGCTTTGAGTAAGGGGAAAAAGTAAGAAAATATCCAACCTTACACTGTGTATTTTGACAGCATCTGCTTTATAGAACTCATATCTCTGTTTACTATTAAAAAGCTCTTATTTGCTGAAGCATTCCCAGACCATATGTTATCAACAAATGTTACTAACCAAATACAAACAGTAATTTTCATTAGGTTTCCTTCATGAGAACAACATTAACCACAAAGGGAATAAATGTTTCAAATGACAGTAAACATACATAGAAAACCCTTGACAACACCGTGGTGCTTACATATTCATACCCCCCAAAAGCCCTGAAAAGATCCGCGTCAACAAATGGAGACCCTCAGAAGTTGGGTTTTGTGCAGGTTGAAGCCTGCGGTGATGTCATTAGTTGCCATAGCGATGCTCAGCATAAGGCCATAATTCATGTCACTGAAACATCATTTGTATTCAATCTAAGTACACAGTTTATCTGTGCTGTGTATTAAATTATTGTTCAGAAAATTAGCTCTGGACAGTAGTTAGGTATTAGGATCTTCTGAGGGACCAACAATGTAATGGTTTCATTTTCACGTTTAATAATTAAGCAGGTTATCTCTGTAGGAGTTTATTTGTTGGCAAAGTGCCTTGAGACCCATTCTGGACAAATCTCACCAAGTAGCCACACTATCTTGTCCCCATATCACAGAGTTCATGCTGACACTTCAAAGCAATACATCTGCAAATGAGGACAAATAACGCCATTGTGGCCAAAAGGACACTTATCTCTCTGTCCCTCTCTCTCTCCCCCTCTGCCACAAAAAAGATGCACGCAAGCAGAAAAATCCTGACAGTACTTTCTCAGTTAGGACCATTTTAACTATCTGAATCCCACCTGAAACGCTCAGCCCGGCTTTTCTTATTGCCCAGTGTATCCCAAAGCCTGGAGCTGACCACGAAATGCTGCCGTGCATAGGGACTTTGCTAGAATTATTGCCCCATTTATGGCATCTCTGCTGTTCCTGTGATATCACTAGGATCTACTTGCATCTCCACAATTTCTAGTTAGGCATCAAACTTCGGACGAGTAGCTAAACTCATAGAATCATAGAATGGTTAGAGTTGGAAGGTACCTTAAAGACGATTTAGTTCCAACCACAGGGACACCTTCCACGAGACGAGGTTGCCCAAACCCCTTTCCAACCTGGCCTTGAACACTTCAAGGGACAGGGCAGCTGCAAAGAGCCAGAGGATGAGAGATGCCTCAGGTGCTAACTTGACAAATGCTGGCCCTTGTTTTACCTTTTACAGCAAAATAAGTAGATCATCACTGTGGACTTTGTGTCTACGGATTCACCAAGAGGTGCCATCACAGTTACAATCAGCTGAAAGCGCTGAGATTTTTTTCTCAATGAAACATAAAATGAGGCATATCCAGAGGGTGTGAGTGGATAACAAGGGAGGAAGGTCACCCTTGTCCCCTGTTACCTCCATGGGATTGCCTGACACAGAACACATGAAAGATGGGCTTACCTGTCTGATTTTAGGAGCATTTGGGAGCTCTCACAGGCATTGTCCTTACTGGCACATGGAGGGAAAGCGATGCCATTGCTGATGCAGGTGCCAGGCTGCTCACACCAAGCTGCTGTCAGCTGTTTCAAGCAACACATTGGCAATCTTCTGGCAAACCTTCAGGTTGATGCTACTCAGCCCTTCCCAACTTACAGACAAAACAAATAAGACCACCTAGGCTCCTCACCTTGTTGCTGTACCAAGATCTTACCCTTTCCTGCCATAAAGTCACTGCAGAAACAACTGTCTTCATCCTATGGATGTGAAGTGCTTTACATCCTGATCTTTGGCTATAGTCTCTGAGAGCTACCAAAATGCAGACACAGGGATAAGAAAGTCAAATTAATATGCAGCCAAAAAAGACAAAATTATTCAAATAGCATGGCGTTATGTTACACTGTGTTATTAAAAAACTATTTGGGATATGAATAAGGCTTGAGCAAAACCCTGCAATGGTCCTTCTCCTGACTGCACTCACATATTGCATGAAACCAGGCAGCAAGGTCTCCCACTCCAGCTGTTTTCCTCCATGATAGCCCACTTACATAGCCTAGTCTACAATTTTCTCAGCTGTCCTTGACAGACGTTGACTTAATAATTTCTATTCACCTCTAGTGTGTAAGTTCCTGTAAAGGAAACGTCCCAAAAGTGAACATACATGTTAGTATCCAGGAGAACGTATTAAATTCTTTCATTCATGTACTGTTGTCTCTAGCAAGTCCGCTTAGCCCCTTCCTACTTTGAAACAGCGACCCTTCTTCCATCATTGCTCTTGTAAC